GTTCAAACCCACCAGCCACTCCTTGGAAGGAAGATGGGGCAATCTACTTCCATAGTGATACCGCCTTGGCAATCCAAGGAGGGGTCACTATGAGTAGGGTCTGACTCTACGGCACATAACAACAACGACATAAGGCTATGAGTCGGATCCAACTTGATGGCAAATACAACAACATAAGGTTTCTAAGACTATACTCTTTACAGAAGCAGACTGCTTTCTCCCATGCAGTGGCTGGTGGGTTTGAATTGCTGATCTTTGGTTAGCAACTCAATGCTTAACCACTGTGCTACCAGGGGTCCTTATGGAGTATTTAGTATGTGTGAATTGCTGTTGCAGGTACTTTTATACCTACATTAACTAATTCAATGCTCTTACTTTTCTCCATTTTTAAGATTAGAAAACTGAAGTATAAAGGGATTAGTAACGTGTAAAAGATCATACACCTAGTATGTAGAAGAGATAGACAGTCTGCATAATCACTCTTGCCTTTTTCCAAGGATATGATTGCTATGACATGTTTAGTCAAAGGACTTAGTCCTCTCCATCTTCTTCAATTCAACTGTAGAAGAAATTAGCCTTGATACTAAATACTTACAAACTTTACAGGTCCAGGATAAGGCACTGTTATATTGAAACATAATTCCTAGTTCTCCTTTTCTGAATCTATTACTCTGAATTAGGGGCAAAAAGTAACCAAACAAATATACTCTTATTTATAATTTTAAAACTACATAGATGGAAGGAATATTTTCCCTCCTGTCTTTTGAAACATTTCTAATGAACCGTTTGACTAGCAGTGATTTATGGAACCAAGCCCAATATTTGAATGGGATAAGGAGAATCTCGTACTACCATCACTACTCACACTGCCATCTTGAAATGTGGACCTCTCCACCCCCTACCCATCCCATACACTTACCCCATCCAAGTTCACATACAATTCAAATAGAGCCTATTAAAAAGTGGTCACTTTCTAATTTCTGGTATCACTAATGTCAGCTATTAATAAGCCAGATGAGTGCATTTGTGCTAGAAAGAATTTAAAAATGTACTGGAAAAAAATCTTACTCTATGAAGCCTCAGATCTCCTACCTTAATCTATGAAGTACAAAACTCTCACCTATCTCCTACATACTCTCTTACTGCTTAGAATGCTGCCAAGCTTTGATGTGGGATTTTTCAGGCGCTTAAAATACTTTCCTTACCTATACAGCTTCACATGACCCAGAAAGGAGGATTACCTAAATTACCAAAATAGTTAGAAAATCCACACTGAAGTTTAAAAGATAAATACTAATTAGTTTTTAATTACATGTAGTATATGCTACATAGTGATACCCAAATTTATATTTATAATTGTTTTCTACTCATTTACTGAATGAAGAAGTTTTCTCTTTTTTTTTTTAACGTGGCCAATTTTATTACTTTTTAAAGTAAACATTTTGTGTCTAGTGGGTAAACACTGGGCTGAAAATTATTAAAACATTAATTTCAACCTGGGTCTCTGATAAACGCCTGCACAGTAACTGGTTTTAAAAATGAAATTAGCATACAGAGTAGAGGAAGATCAGTGATGAAAAACAAACAAACACCAGTTTAAATAAAGAAAGAGAAATGACTGAACATTTGTTGTCTAATTTGTGGTGTCACAGGATGATGGATATCAAAAGTGGCAGCCAAACCCAACAAGGGTTAGCTCTTTCCATTTCTTCACAAAACCTCTCTGGTTGCAAAGTTCTTCAACAATTAAGATTGGTGTGTACATTGATTTAGTTCAGAGGTTCTCAATGTTACAGTCGCCCAGGGAGCATTGAAAAAAGAGTAAAAGAACAAACAAGCTGGGCTTTCTGCACTTGTTTAACTTCTACCAGAAATTTAGATTCCGGAGGATTGCTGTGAAGTTCAGATACCGAATTTTTTAAATCACCTATTGCGATTTTAATTTGCAGTCAACACTGGGAATCTGGGAATCCCTGATTTAATTAATATGAAATTTATTTTTGTATCTCTTTACTTTCACTTTACAAACACAGATTCTATATAGACACACCAGTAATTTGAATTGAACAGTAACCTGAATTGAACATTCAATTCAAGAGCTAGACTACTTAGTGTCAGTCCATTAATACTTCCATACTTTCCAAATTAACTATACCACAGATCCTTTGATACAAACCTTTTTTTTTTTGTTTTATGTGACACAAAAACGGAATCTTTATACATTGATGCCATTTATTAACTCTGAGCTGAGATACTTTCAACAATATCTAGTGTAATGCTCTCATGTTATATGAAAAAAAAGAGAGGCCCAAAGATGTAAGATAATTTGTCCAAGGTTACACAGCTAATTCATAGCATAACTGAGGTTTAAAACCCAGTAGCTCTGACCCCAATGCTATAGTCAATCATGTTGCTTTCTATTTGTAAGAAACCAAAGGCTTAGAATGGATCGAATAAACCGTATTTCTAACATGAAAATTGACAAGTAGACACTTTGACTCCTTTAAAATTCAAATGCTTCAGAAATATGGGCAGATATAGTATTGTAATCCTGTTTATTCATGTTATGATGAAAATATATTAAACTTATATTTTGTGAAACCAAACCCAAACCTGCTGCCATCGAGTAGATTCCAACTCACAGTGACCCTATGAATGGGCCTGCCCATCAGGTTTCCAAGGCAGTAAACTTTTAACTTTTTCCCGTGGAGCAGGTGACAGGTTTGAATGGCCAACTTTTCCATTAGCAGCCAAATGCCTTCGCCACTGCACCACCAGAGCTCTCTATATTACCTTACTTAGGTATTATTAACACTCTTCTCTTTGTGCCTTCATTACACTTTGTGAAGATTTATAGCATCTATACCCCTTCAGTATTCTTAAGGGCTTTCAAGCCTATCTCTGTCTACTACACATCAGCTGCTCCAATGGGAAAGCCATTTCTCATTTATTTTTGTATTCACAGAGCCTACGGCCATGATATATAAATGGAATGGGCTTGACAAGTGTATGCTGGATTGAAAAATAAATCTGAAAATCAGAGAAATGCCAACTCCAGTGCCAATAAAGATAAAAAATAAAAACCTACATGGCTGAATCTCTGAGATTTTAAATGAAATTTCTTTGTGGCATTGGATCCCCAATATCAAGAGACAATAATATGTATAAGTAATTTCTTGCTTAAAATTCAGGGTAAAAGATTTTTTATCATTCTTTCTGTGTTTGTAGGTACATGTATGTATGTGTGTGCATGTGCATACAAAGAGAAAAAAAAATCACACAATACAAAAGACTGAGCAATTACTGCATCTGAGAGGTTTTTTTTTTTCATTACTTAAGTGACATTATTTGAGTGGTGTGTTCCAGCTTCCAATCTTTAGGTCTAGCAGCTGTTCTGGTTACCTAGTGCCACTCTGATAAGAATATACCACAAATGGGATGGCCTTGACAAACAGGAGTTTATTCTCTTACAGTTTGGAGGCTTTAAGTCCAAGTTCAAAGTGCCAAGCTCTAGGTTCTGGGTGAAAGCCCCTCAGCCTTGGGCTTCAGCTCAGCCTCCGGCTCCCAGTCCACTGACTCTAGAGGCTTTTCTTCACTCAGACAGCTGCTGGCTATTGAGGCTAACAAGCCCAAGGCTGACAAGTAAAAAGGCACAGTCCTGATATTACCAAATCACACAGCAGGCCATTAATTCAAGTCCATTGAAAGTCCCAAGGTCGACAGAGCATGGCAGGCTGCTGAACAACATGGCTACATGCAGGGTTCAAGGTGCCATAAGCTAGAGACTATCCCCAAGGTTTCTCCTTATATACAGGAAGCAGACCACATCCCAAAGGCAGCTACTCAGCTGCTTGTGGTAGATCCCACCATGGAGTTAATTGCCAGTCTTATCATGGGGAATAACTACCAACAGCTGCCCAGCCACTCAACCAGGCCCAGCCAAGTTGACATACAAACTGAACTAGTACAGCAGCTGAGCACAAACCTTCTCTGCCACCAGGAACTTTAATATTTATAACAGCTATCATTATTAAATGTCATGCAACTGGTAGGGTTTTCTATTAAATAATATATAAGAAGTACT